TGCTTGGATAGCACTTGCACGTTCCTCAGGACACCAGTCTTCTGGGAAGCTCTTGGCTTGCAGCTCACTGGGAGTCTGTATGTGTGCTGCGTCATACTGGTGCAACTACTTAGGTTTAAGGTTCTGAGTAACTATCTGAGAGAAGCTCTGTTCCACTTAAAAGGAGAAAAAAAATATTCCAGTATCTCAGTTATTCTTGACTGAAAAGAGAGGTGAATTTTACTAGAGGCAAAGTAGGTGTCTTTCTTAAAAGTGGTTTGCATAGATTTCTTAGCTACGTTTTGTTGCTACTTGCTGTCAGTGGCTACATCTGGAAGGACAGAGGGCATAGGAAATTCCTATACTAATTGAGTTATAGGTGCTGTAAGTACAAACACCTCACAAGAAATCAAGTCCTCCATGGGGGCAGGGGTTGCCATTGGGATTAGAATGCATTGTAAGGATGATAAAGTCCCTTTTTAAAAAGGAGGAGGCTTCTAACAGTGGCTTAAATGAAAATATTTTAAAAATAAGATTCAAAGTAAATGTTGTGAGGCTTTTTACCATTTTATTGAACTTTAGGTACAAAAAGTTTAGCTTACCAATCTGCTCAGACAATAGGCTACTGTTAGAATAATTCAAACTTAAGAACTGGTCTCTTTCAATTAATAGACCTTCCAATTAAAAATTCCTATGTGATGGCAGCACAATTGCTTCTGTCTCTTGACAGGCTCTCAGGTACTCCTGCGGAGTAATTATCAGTAATACCTGCATTGTTGTATTTGGCTATGGTTTTGTGATATTATTATTATTATTATTATTATTATTATTGTACGCAGGATGAACAGGGTCCTGTGGGGTGCTCCCGGTAACGATGCTGTGTAAGAGATTAGCTAATTGGCAGTTTGCTAATACTTAAATGGCTTTTTTAAGGGCAGGCCTCTGAGGGAAAACCAAGCACTGAAATTTTTGCATGGTGCTGATTTGGTATAGCTACCATGTGAGTGCTGTTTGGTAATGTCTTCCCAAGGGGTGTCACCACAAGTGCTAAAACAGAAGAGCTGTTTTCTGTCCTCACACAGGCAAGCCTTAACATTGAACAGTGTGTGTCAGACTGTAACTGGAAGCTTTGTCTTTCTCTCTCTGTGATCTCTGATGTATTTCCCAAAAGCTCATGGTTATGTTTCCTAGTTAAGCACTTCTCTACCAAAGAAATTAAAATTATCAGAGATGCGTTGTGTTTTTTGGAGATACTCAAGACTGCACTGGATATGACAGCCTGTTCTAATTAGATCTACTTTGACTAGATTACTTTTAGCAGTCCTTCCTAACATAAATTATTCTATGATGCTGTCATTAACACAGGAATTAATGAATGACATGTTCTGTTTGGATTCTGACTGCAGAAATAGAACTTATTCTTTATAACAAGCTCAGGACACTCATCTAGGTGTAATCGCTGCTCATACTGTAGATTTTCTGCCTTAAACTTGCAAGCTAAACTGACATTTGCATGACCACACCTGTCCCCAATATTTGTCCCTATTTGTGTTGGTCCCTCCTGTTCAAGAGCTTGGATCCACTGCAGAATTATCCCTCTCTAGGGGCAGTGAAAGCAAAATATATATAAATTCCTCAAGCAGTTTTGAGCAGAGAGTGTGAGAAGCTTTCAGGCAGGGTAAATTTGTATATATAACTTTGCTTTAAAACCAAATTATGTGTGCAGACTCTTTCCTCTTCATATATAAAGAACAGTAGACAATAATACCTACCTTTGTAAATAGGCATTGTGTGCCATTCTTAGAAGCTACAGTCGATGATTTCCTGAAAAAGCCCTTCTCTGAGCAGTCTGTTACAACATACAGCTTGTGCTATGCTGGAACTACATGACAAAAAATATCTGCTGTGAAATTTGATGTGTCTTTAGATAATGCGATTGATTATTATTTTTTTCCATGCTGAAACTGATCTTACTAAGCTGGATGAGGTGGAGCAGTCATGTGTTCTGTATTGATAGAGAGTTGTGCCTAAAAAAAATTAAAATTGCTAAGTCATCTAGACATATATAGGTTCAGTTAATTCCTACACAAGTATTGGGCAGAGGAAATTAGCCAGTGCATCTCCTGCCAGAAGTACATGGAATGAGGAGAAACAAAAGCACAGTGATTAAACTTTGAAATCTAATAAATTTCACTGTGCTAAAAGTGTTCTAGTAAACTTGCATGCTCTGTTAATGCCTGAATATGCTTTTGGAATATACATCTAACTTCTGGAGTGTCTGAGTCATGCCACATAAATGGTTTGTGGTCTTAGATTATTGCTGCCTAATCTTTGGAAAGTGTATTTTGTTAGAGGACTAACGTTTTGTCCAGGATAGACTTCCTTTTTTTTAGTAATACTTCATATTCTTCCATGAGCTGAACACGTGGCTGAAGTCCCCTGTCCTTCCTTTATTGGTCTGAGGCCTCGCTCACACCTCTTGTGGACTTTGGAACAGTGCTGTGTCCCTTTTCAACCCTGGGGTTGGATTATTGCAACCCTGTCTACCTGGAGCTGCCTTCAGCACCATTTGTGTATCAGTAGGTCAAAAAATAACCCACGCTGCAAAGGTCCCTACCACCTGAGGTGGTTTAGTCCATGGCACAAAGAGACCTCGTTTGCGTTTCTGCCTCTGAATGCAGAACCAGCTGCTGGTCAAGTTGTGTGACATGGTGAAGGCCATCAGACCTATGCCCCCCCGCCCAGATCCTCCATCATCTTCATTGCAAGTGATTGTTGCTGTGGTCCTTGCAGCAGAATGATGTACTGCAGATCTCGAATAAATGACAGGACACTGCCAATAGAGCAGGATGTTGCTTCTAGAATTTTCTTCTGCTCTGACGTATCCTGATAGCCTAAGCTAACTGCTCGCAGAAGATTTCTAGGTCTTTCTGATTAATGGGGCTATTACTTCCTCCTGCAGTCTGGCAGTTGCCTGTTTTCTATGAAGGGATAAGATTGGCATAGCAATTATATGCATTATATTCATTTAGATTATAGCATTGCTTACTGATTGGGTGCCTTTGGATAGACAGGGCTGTATAGTCTCTGCCATGTGCTATGCACCAAACAGTACTCTTTCATGCTCTGATACAGCTTCCTTCCTTGTGAGTTATTTTGAAAGTTGACAAAGAGGTTCTGGTATTTGAATGTTTAAAAATATGTTGGCTTTCACTTGTGAAAGATTTGAGAGGTGCAAAGGCACTACTTTTACTTTAGGTAGGACAATATTGATATAAAACCATAGTAAGTTACTGTTGTCTTAAATATTCTGAAGTTAGAGTATTTGTCTCTCACATCCAGTAACTTCCTTTTGAGTTAGTTTGACTAGTCTCAGTACAGATAAAACTTAACAGAAGTTTGGACAAGCAATGCAAAGAAACATCTTTAAATCCTTGCAGCAGAATTTTTCTTTTGTGTTTGGGTAAAGCATCATAATCCAACACAGATGCCACTGTCTTTTGGACAGTTGGATATAATGTCTTGACTATAGAAAGTCGTGACCAAAACTGGTGCCCCATCCCAGCAGAACTCTTCTGGCTGCCTCAGTTTGTTGTGAAGTCTTCAGAGCATCCTCAAGCCATTTAATCCCTGAATGGTTCGTAAAGACTGGCCTCCAGTGAGATCTTCCCAATGTCCTTGTCTCACTGCTAGTTGGGGATGTACTTTTCCTCATGACAGTCGGATTAGTGTGGATGTAGCTTATCACTATAAATGTCCTACCTCTTCTGGAGAATGCTGTTTTCTGTGTTAGGAACTTAATTGCATTGTACAACATGGTGTTGCGTTTTTCCTTAAGAAAGTGCAGATGAGACCCAGTGGCTGGCTGCTCTGGAAGTCTTGCTCACTTTCAAGTGGGTGCTGGGTTATATGTAGAAGGTATCTGTTGTGAGATGGTGGGATGAGATGTCTGTGCAGGAGGGCAAGAACAGAGTAGCAAAAGTCTTCTTCAGAATATGTGGAAATGGGAAAAATGTTGTACTGTGAAAATCCCCAGAGTGATGTTCAGACTTCAGCAATCGTATTTTTGGATAATGTTTTGGTCTTGATGCTGCTTTCAGGTGCATACATTTAAATTTTTACTTTGTGGGGAAAGCAACATGAGTGATTGTGTTGAAATGCTATTTAGCTGTTTTATACAAGCCTGTACAGTAATACATGAGTGGGAGGGTGCTTAAAACTGAGAAGATCCATGCTCTGATACAGTGTCTGGACATCTCTGCTCTCCTCCAGAAACCTGCTCCTGAGCTGACCAGCCTTGCTTTGTACATAAATGCTTTGGTTAGTACCTGCATTTTCCAGTGGATGGAAAGGGCAGAGTAGTGGTGGATCAGTTCAGGGTTTGGGGTTTTTTTTCCACAGAATGAATCAATATAGCCACACAAACCTTTGTGTGTGAGCACATGAAAGACTTTGATCCTTTTAAGAATTGCGAGTAAATCCCAAAGTTCTGATTTAAATGAAAATTGGTGTTTCTAAAGCTGAAACTTCAGAAAGTGCTTTATTTAAGTTGCACAGGTGTTCTTGTTGATCTCAACTCTGTTTGCAGCATCATTAATTAGTGCATTGCAAGAGGCATGATAGTTGTGCAACCTTCAGTGAAAGAAGTGTTTTGGTTACATGGGATGGCGCAAGACTTCTTCCTGGATGACGGAGACATTGCAGCTGATGGCTGTTGCTTTCACTCTGTCTGCAGACACAGATCATGCTCCATTTCTTCCCTTTTGGAAAGTTATCTTTGCAACCATAAGTTGGAAACTACATGCTGAAAGTTGCAAGGTGTGGGGGGGTGTTACTTTTGCTTGTGGGGCCAAGTGGTCCCATCTTATGTGAGGGAGAGCAGACATTGTTTTCAAGCTCTGACAAATAATCCCAGGCCTGTGGCTGGGCTCCAGCCTCTCCTTTTCAGCAGCTTTTAATGATTAACTTAAAAATTTCAAGATATTATAAAAATATTTAACCTCAGGTTTATTTTCTCTCTGCAGGTGGAAGAATCTGAGGCCTTTATCCTCTGTCCAGCTTTGCAGTTCAAGTAGCCTCTGATTTCAGACACCTCATCATTTCCGCCTGCCAACCTGTCTGATATGTCGGGACCCGTGCCGAGCAGGGCCAGAGTTTACACGGATGTGAACACACACAGACCCCGGGAGTACTGGGACTATGAGTCGCATGTTGTTGAGTGGGGGTAAGTCTCTGGGCTGCTTATGGCTGTTCCTGGACCAGGATTGATCCCTGTAGGATCTGGCATGGTGGTTCATGGGGAGTTCAGACACCTGTGCTGCGTTAGGCTTTTCCATGTTCCTTGGCAGATGTCTAGTGTGCATGGCAAGTGTTAGGATCACAACTTTTCTTTGGAGAAGTGTTTCTTGTCAAAATTCTAAATCCCCAGCAGCACAAGAACATTTTTAGCAGCTCCCTTAAGAGTTTGTTTTGAGGAATTTTTGCCAGGTAGTCAGGAAACTTGTCCTTTCATAGGACAGAAAATATTTATCTGAAAACAGTTGAACCAGCCCTGGGTGTGGGGCTGACAAGAAGTGAAAAGACATCTGATGTTGCTTCTGACTTGCATGAGTGAAGAGGCTCAGCAGACTTGAATAGGTACATGCTATTTTGTGACTTGTTGCTCAGCTCTCTGAGTGACTGGAAAAGACATGTCTGCTTCTTTATGAAGGAAGGAGGTGTCTAAATTGAGCCCATGACTAAACCATCCAAGAATCAGACAGCAGTGATGCCAGCTTCAAAGCTCTGTGTTCCTGCTTTTGTATAGCAGGGCCCAGACTAAGTTCTGCCCTCAATTTTGTTGGAGTTCCTAGTTTCTGAAATGTACACTCTTCTGAGCATAAGTGGTGTTTTGAGCCTAGTCTGTTTTTAAACAGGCTAGCACTTAAATTTTTTTATCTTACTGAATTTGCTGATTTTTTTTTTGACAGCATTATACAAGGAAAAATGTAGCTTCCAAATAGATACCGGTGGAAGGGATAGCTTGAGTTTGCTGCTGCTAAAATGCATAGTTGGGCTTATGTTACCTACTACAGAAGAAATAAGTTCTGGATTTAATCTAATTTGGGTGAATAGAAGCTCCCTGTTTCTTTCCTAATTCATACTCATGTTCAGGAGATGTAAGACACTAGTTAATCCACCTTGTCTGGAAGGTGAGGCAGTGGTTTAGTATTAAGGAGCAGCTTGTAAATTGTGATGGAAGTGACTGAGCTCTTTGGAACTCTTAACTTTTTATCTCCACAGAAATCAAGATGACTACCAGCTAGTTCGAAAATTAGGCCGAGGCAAATACAGTGAAGTATTTGAAGCCATCAACATTACAAATAATGAAAAAGTAGTTGTTAAAATTCTCAAGGTGAGCTGGGGATTGGGCAGAAGATGGTATCTGTCTTGAGGTGATCAGAAGGTCAGAAAGTGCAGCATTTAGTCTAAAAAGTCTTATGTTCTAAAACTGAAATCCTTAAAGCCTGGCTTTGGAGTGTTATTAGGTGAAATAGGCTGTCGTTTTGAGCCTCGTAATAGAAGCCCTTACTCTTGGTTAAGTCAAAACTCTGCATCTAAGGAATTAGCCTCTCTTAAAGAAGTCCTGATGTGCAACACATTTTTACTTGGAGCTAAGCGATGCTTCAACAGCTGACTAGAAAATTCTCACCTCCTCTACCTACCAGTGTCCTGACATACTGTCATGTGCATAGAGGCCTATGAGCTGATGAGATTGTTGTCCTTTAAAGCCACTGATTAGACTTAGGGACTGCTAACCTTAAAATTTTCATTTCTGCTCCACATGTTCCATTGCATATGTAATATTCTTCCAGATTGAGTAAGGATCTCCTGGATGCTGGTTATTCCACAGCCTCGATTGGTGAAATACCTTCATTTAGTGACCCTCAGGTAGCTCATCGACTTCTCATAGTTAGACATTTACCACGTGACAGTCAAGAAGTTTTGGACTGTCAGATCATGTTCAGACAGCTTTAAAAATAATACACCATCTTCCTAATCCTCGTTCACATGAAACGAATGTTTGTAGCTGTCAGGGTTGTTATGGTTAGAAAGGAGACTGCAGATATTTGAGCCCTTACTGGAATGATGCATAGTCAGATAACAACAAAATATAGGTTTTTTTTAAACTTAACTTGCAAAGGCTCCAATGTATTATGCTGACCTGCAGTCATCTACCGTGGTCGTCTGGATGTTAAGCTGTCTGTTAGCCTCCCTTTACTGGAGTGCTTTGTCTTACACTTTGGGTTTTTATTCTTCAGCCTGTTAAAAAGAAGAAAATCAAGCGTGAAATCAAGATCTTAGAGAACTTGCGAGGCGGTCCCAATATAATCACTCTTGCAGATATAGTAAAAGATCCTGTGGTGAGTATGGAAGGAACTTAGAGGGTACACTGGGATTATAGATGAAGTTGCTGTGTTTGACTTCAGCTCTGATCTGGCTTTTTGTTTTCCCCTGCTCTTAAATCCTACTTTTGAATTGCTTAATCAGATCAGCTCTTAATCTGATTAACTTCTTTTAGAGGCCCCTTCCCCCACAGGTCCCTTCAGCCCCTTGCTCTGTAAGGATGAGATACCAGTGAACTGAGACAAGTTAATTCATTCTACAAACAGTGCTGCCAGGGGCTGCAGGCTTTGGCTCTGCTTCCTCTATCTGAGGGGAATCACAAGTATGTCTGAGGCAGAGGGGCTTCTAGCAGTTCTAGGAGTAAATATGATTTAACTCATTATCCTGAATGGAAACATATTATCGCAACTTAACATGGCTGAACACTTTTCTCTCTGTTTTAGTCTCGGACACCTGCTTTGGTTTTTGAACATGTAAACAACACAGACTTTAAGGTACAGTATGGGATCTGAACTTCTAATGTTTTCCATTTGAAAGCCACTCATAATGTTTTTCTGGGGAAAGGCAAGTACATAGGGGCAGGCAGGTTATTTAATCATTTCCTTCTAACATAGTAACTGTCTGTAAAGGTAAATATGCTTGGGACAGAAGTTTGTAATTAGTCCTTTAGTACCATTTTGTCACAGAAGTTACAAGATGACAATCCAGATTCCAAGTGGTATTCTAACCTTTGGAGCAAATTAATCTGTTATCTTGTGGACCATCAGTGCCTGTCTCTTTGAAACACTATGCTTTTATGTTCAGCATATAGCTATTTATTAGAACCACTTTAAATGTGGACAGCTGTTTCCACGGCTTTCCATACTTCTGGGAAAAGGGATTTAAATGGGGTTTTTTTTGTCCTCTTCCGTACTGACCTGCCTCAGAAGAACGGCTGTGTAATGCCATCTGGAATAGCTGCTCAACGTTGCAGAGCAACATCTCTTTTTGAGACCCAGTCTGCAGGCATAGTGCATCGTGCTGGTGGTGGATGAGTGCAACCTGAGGGAGTTAGTGACAGAAACCAGAATGTACTGTCTGAGCAGAGCTGGAAGTAAACTATATATATGATTTGTAAGGGGAGAGGAACACACAGAGTAACTTGGGAAACTTTTCCTGTTCTTTCAAATGGGTTTGGAGAACCACAGCAGCAGAGAACAGGGCTGGGTTGTTCTGGATTGGCAGGGATGTGATATTTTTCTCAGGTGTTGAACACTGATATGATGTCTTTGTGTCCCACAGCAATTATACCAGACATTAACAGATTATGATATTCGATTCTATATGTATGAGATTTTGAAGGTAAGTTGGTGTTTTGCTGTTTTTATCGGTATATTTCTAGGATTTACACTCAGCTAATCCTATAGAGATGGTTATCATGTCGCTAATGGGGGGGAAGGGAAGAGAAAGCCTGTGGAAGAATTGGACAGAAAAATATATATCAAGTCAGTATCAATTGTTCAGCCATGTATCTGCAACAAAATCTAGTCCTTTTTTTGAGGATAGCAGAGCCTTTGGGTGCACTGAGATAACTTAAGATCCTAATTGAAAAGTACATGTAGCCTCTGAAAACAGAAAATCGTAAGCTGTTACTGGCTGAGTTTGTGCTCTGATGTAATGCGAGTCGAACGTATTTGTCCATTCTTCTGAAACAAGTATTTTTTCCTCAGGAGTGCAGAGAAGAGGAGGCTTGTTTGATCAGTAGTGCTTAGTAACTCTGCTCTTAGGGACTCCAAAATCCCATTTTTATGAGGAAGCACATGAGGTGAAGTCAAAACACTTCTGTTGCTGGGACCTCCCTTTGAGAGGGGACTCCAGAGGTGTTTTCTGTGGTCCACCAGTCTAGTCCAGGTTATAACACTGGGCAGTAAAGTCTTGCTGTCTAGTTAGACTTGGTATATATGGAAATACTTCTGAATATGATTGAACTTGAAAAGTTCTTGTGACTGCAGCATCTGTTTCTTTGTATGTCACTTACAGGCTCTAGATTACTGCCATAGCATGGGAATCATGCACAGAGATGTCAAACCTCACAATGTCATGATTGACCATGAGCACAGAAAGGTAAAGTGGCGCAGGCTGGAGGGTGGGGAGAGGTAATACTTTGGGCAAACAATGATCCCTTTTGGGTTCTCCTACGTAGTGGTACTAGCAGACATCTTCAAGGGGGGCTGCACTTCCATCATGTGGAGAAATGTAAAAAGAAATTCTATATGCTGCTTCTCTTAAGTCTTTATGGGTTGCATGCAACCTATAAACAGGGTTGGTAAGGAGACGTATTTTGTTTAGACTGGTTAGTGATATGGATGTGGGGAGAATATCTAAACAGATACTGTGATCAACTTCAAATTAATTGAAAACAGAAGACTTGTAAATGAAGCTTCAAACTAAACTCACCCATAGTGTGGTTCAGCCAGTGGAGAGCTGGAGCATCCCTTGAGCGTTTTTTCTTTGTTTTCTACCATTTCTAGCTTAGACTAATAGACTGGGGTTTGGCCGAATTCTATCACCCCGGCCAAGAGTACAATGTCAGAGTGGCTTCCAGATATTTCAAAGGACCTGAACTCCTTGTAGATTATCAGGTAAGAATTACCAGCATTTATCACTGACTTTTATATGCAAAGGCTGTGCCATTTCAAGGTAGCAAACAAGAAATCCGGGTATCTAGAGACCTGAAGCTAAAGACAGTCCATTTTAAAATGTATCACAGAAAGCAGTGGCTATAAAGCTACTGAGTTAAAGAAACTAACGAGTAGTCTCAGGACCTGAGAAAGAGCTGCAGAACTATCATCATGGATCTTGGAATACAAATGTTGAATTTTTTTTTATTTTTTTTTTTTAGCAAGGCTGCTTTTGCAGTAAGGTACAGGAATGAAACAAAGCCCTTGTGGGAATAGCTAGTACTGCATGAACTTCTAAATTAAGCTATTAAAACATCTCCATATCTGATAGCAGTTTGCATTATGGAAATGCTGTGGGCTGGAAATAGCAGTGTTTTACTGGTGACTTTCAGATCGTGCTGGTTCTGAATGAAGGCACTTCCTCAACTGCCCATGTACCTTGTGGAGTCCACTCCTTTTGTTGCTTGTCGTGATGTTTCTCAACCTGCGTTTGTCAATGATTTGTAACATTGAAGTCTGCAGTGAAAATAGAGGCATTGGTCTTTATTATCCTTATGGACAAGGATGGAAATAGGATACCTGCTGTTCTGCTAATTGCTGTATCCCAGTTTGAGTAACTGGAACACTGAGCTGAACATCATCTAGTGATGAAGATTCATGAAGATATTTCAGTCTGTTCCCAGTGTAATGTGGTCGTATTTGTTTCACTGGAAGGGGGGACCCTGTTAGTATTGGGAGTCTGTTCTGCTTAATTCATTAGAAACTGAATTGTCCTTCTGGTTTTGTACAGATGTACGATTACAGTCTGGATATGTGGAGCTTGGGTTGCATGTTGGCTAGTATGATATTCCGAAAGGAGCCATTTTTCCATGGCCATGACAACTATGATCAGGTGAGAGCTGGTCATGTACAATCTCTGTTCTCTTAGCACTATGAAGTTTGCATTGTTTGCACTTCTCTTGAAGGATCCAAAGAAGAATTTAAGCATTTCTCTAATGGCTTCTTTGTTCAGTCTGAAGCCACGTTCTTTTTCTCAAAGTGTGCAGAATTATCTAACCAGTTACATAGAAACATATTTATAGTGCTTTGTATTTATGAGCTCCTCAGTAGGTATCTGGAAAAAGTTATAAAAATAGTTGTATTAAGGCTGGTGTGTTCTGGTATGTAGCTTGACTATTCCTGAGGTTATGTTATGTGGAAAGCCCCTGCCATTATCCACCCTCCCTCCCCTATGTATAGAAACTCTGAATTTATATGGATTCTGAAATCTTTGATGTGTTGCCTTTAGGCTGAAATCTTTATACTTAGACCTTCAACATGTGCTCTGCATCTGAACTGATGTGCAGACGTTCAAGAACAGGGACCTTCTGTTCTCAAACCTTCATTCTGGAGCCCTCTGGGGTGGCACTTCACCCTTCAGGTTCAAGTTACAGAGTTTCTGCTCTTTTGACCAGTTATTCTTGCCTTCCCACTCTGATGGTTTTGAGTATTTTCTTGCTACAAAGGGAGTTAGTGTTGCAAGATCTCAAGTTTTAGGGATGTTAGGGTATGCAGCTCCCTCCTGACTGCCTGGGGTTACTAACTGTTCGTGATGCCTGTGATTGTATGTGGCCGGGGAGGTCAGAGCCACAAGGTGACCCTGTGGCTCCTGGTTCAGACCACTGAGAGCAGGTTCAAGCTTTCAAGGGAATGTATTGCTCTGTCTTCACCCTGGCTCTTCACCCTCACAGTACCAACTTATTTTTCTGTTTGTTCCCAGCTGGTGAGGATAGCCAAGGTGCTGGGAACAGAAGATCTGTATGACTACATTGACAAATACAACATTGAACTGGATCCACGTTTCAATGACATCTTGGGCAGGTGAGCCAAGGTCCAGAGTAGCTCATAAGCTCTTGGTAGATCCAGACAGCTACTGCTTTGTCAGTAGACCTTGAAGTAAGAAAACCCCCAAACTTACGGGAGAAAACAGCCAAGTTTCTTGATAACTGTCACTTTGTGCCTTTGATCCCTTTTGCCAGTGCTTCCCATGGTCCTTGATCTGCAAATGGACTTTAGGAAAGGTTTTTAAATGTCGTCTAGGCAGTAAATGAACTGCCATGCATAAAGCATGAAAGGCAAATGCTCTCTCCAGTATTCTGGGGGAAAAAACCAAAAAACTGAGTTTTTCAGAATTACAGTACAGAAAATCAGTTGCTGCTTAAAATGGCATTTACAAATTTTTCTCCCTCCATAGAGTTATTTTGTGTGACACACACCAAAACTACAGGGAACTAATGTTGGGGGCATAAGGAATGAGCAGAAGCTGGGATTTTAGGCCTGTAAATCCATTCTGAACTTGATTCCTTGTGCTGACCAGGGCTGTGGTGGTTGTGCCCTCACGTGGAGATGGGGTGTACTGCTGCTTTGTGCTCTGGTACGGCTCAGCCCCATTGCTGCCACACCTGGCAGCAGCCCCTCTCAGAGACAGGCATCTGTTGCAGTTCTTGCTCTTTAAAAAAGTGAAATTTGGTGTTGATGACCTCTGCCTAGTCTGATTTGGGTACATTTTTTTTCCTACAGACACTCTCGTAAGCGATGGGAGCGCTTTGTTCACAGCGAGAACCAACATCTGGTGAGTCCAGAAGCACTGGATTTCTTAGACAAGCTGTTGCGATATGATCACCAGTCACGACTCACAGCGAGGGAAGCCATGGAACACCCCTACTTCTGTAAGTATCAGCTGCTGTCATCGTCTGCTGTCGAAAGAGGAGTTCTTCTGCCTCTAGGAAATCTCCATTCCAGTAGACAGGAGCTGAGAACGGCAACATAATAAGCCTGGTCTTGGCAAATAATTGTGCTGGAGCTGAGGCTGCTTGTCTCTGTGGTGGATAAAACAGGCCATTGCCACGTACACCAGCTGAGGAAACAAAGTGTTACATGCCTGTGTCAGGCCAGTGAATCAGCAGCACTGTGTTTAAGAAGCTTTGGTGCTGAACCCATGCTAATTTCAGCAGGTGTTTGGGTACACGGATTCCTTTGATAAAACCAGATAACTGATTTGTTGAGAAACAGGTCCTTTTAACTCCTTTTGTTGCTACCTTAGCGAATGGTATATTCAGGTCTTGGTTTTGCAAGCAAAAATGTAACTTTGGCTAGTAAAAGTGAGAGAGCGACCATCCAGAGAGACCTTGACCAGCTTGAGAGGTAGGCCCGTGCGAACCTCATGAAGTTCAACAAGGGCAAAGTGCAAGGTCCTCCATGTGGGTCAGGGCAATCCCAAGCACGACTACAGGCTGGGAGGGGAATGGATTGAGAGCAGCCCTGAGGAGAAGGACTTGGGGGCATTGGGGTGCGAGAAGCTCAACATGAGCTGGCAATGTGCGCTTAAAGCCCAGAAAGCCAACCGTGTCCTGGGCTGCATCAAAAGCAGCATGACCAGCAAGTTGAGGGAGGAGATTCTGCCCCTCTACTCCACTCTTGTGAGACCCCCCTGCAGTACTGCGTCCAGCTCTGGGGTCCCCAACATAAGAAGGACATGGAGCTGTTGGAGCAAGTCCAGAGGAGGCCACAAAGATGCTCAGAGGGCTGGAGCACTTCTGTGAAGACAGACAGAGTTGGGGTTGTTCAGCCTGGAGAAGAGAAGGCTCTGGGGAGACCTTATAGCACCTTCCAGTACCTAAAGGGGCTACAGGAAAGCTGGGGAGGGACTGTTTACAAGGATCTGGAGTGACAGGACAAGGGGGAATGGCTTTAAACTGAAGGAGGGGAGATTTAGATTAGATATAAGGAAGAAATTCTTCACTCTGAGGGTGGTGAGGCACTGGCACAGGTTGCTCAGAGAAGCTGTGGCTGCCCCTGGATCCCTGGCAGTGTTCAAGGCCAGGTTGGATGGGGCTTTGGGCAACCTGGTCTAGTGGAGGGTGTCCCTGCCCATGGCAGGGGGTTGGAACTAGATGGACTTTAAGGTCCCTTCCAACCTAAATCATATTGGAAATGTGTTTAAATGCTTGCTGGTTTTCAGAAAACTTTGATACTTGGTTTTTCTGGAGACAGCTGTAACAATGCAAAGTAGGAATATTTGCTCAGTTATATTCTATAAAGAGTGAGTAAATTAGGGATATCTTACAGAAGACGACAAGCTCCAGTGACATTCATTACAACTCACATGTTGCTGTGGGCTGTGTATAGAGACATGACGTATGATTGTAATTCATGATAATCTTTCTGCTTGCTACCCTCATTTTCTGGGTTTGGCTTTATGGAATTGTGCAGTTGCTTAGCACAGAAAGGAGGTCAACTTCACCTTTATTTCCTTCAGCTTTTCCTGTCAGGTGGTCCCGCTGAACTCCAAAGCACATCATTTAGGTGACTTTTCACTGATCGTGTTACCTTGGTACCTTCTTGGGTGCTTCCCACTGGAATTTGATGGAAACTGTTTTGTGTTCTGGTAGATGATGGTTGGTATTATTTGACGTAGGCAGCTTGGAAGGACTGGCTGAGCACACAGGTTGCCCGCAGTCAGTGTGCTTCAGCTGCTCTCTGGCAACACGGCATCTAAGGGTAGTTTCCTCTTCCTAGATCCCATCGTGAAAGACCAAGCTCGGATGGGCTCATCCAACATGCCGGGTGGCAGCACTCCTGTCAGCAGTGCGAGTATGATGTCAGGTCAGTTCTGCTCTTGACTCTTCTTGGTGTGTGGCATTTTAAAGCATTTATATATGCTGTGTGGATGTGAGGATCCAGGAGGATGAGTTCTGCAGGTGGGGCATTAGGTCATCTCCTGGGACCGATGTGACAAGAGCAAGGAGGGGTATGAAGAAGTGGGTGGGAGAGTGTGATAAATAAGGCTTCACTGCAGCCTGACCTGCTTTTCTGGTCCCATTTCGAAAAGTGCTTTGCAGTTGGATTTTTGGCAGCAGTTTGAAGGACAGCGATCCTGCCATACATCTGTCCATCAGTGACACTTGTATGTGTACAAATCCCAGCTCATTTCAGAGGCTGCAGAGAACAGTAACAGACCTTTAATCTCAGCTTATTTTGGCAGCTCTGGAAATGTAACAAAGCAGCAGCAAACTGACCTGCAAAGACACCACTTAATTTAAGAAGCTGAGCTGTCCTGGATAACACTGCACTGGTGCCACTCTAATTCCTGCTTACCTATCTCTCTTCCAGGGATTTCTTCAGTGCCAACACCTTCACCCCTTGGACCTCTAGCAGGCTCACCTGTCATTTCTGCCACCACCACTCTGGGGATGCCCGTTCCAGCTGCTGCAGGCGCTCAGCAGTAGTGATGGGCTCTGTCTCCTGCTGCCTGAGCTGAGTCAGGTGGGGAAGAGGTTTCCCCCTCCACCTCTCCTCAGGACGCAGCTTGTGCCTGGCAGGGGAAGGGAGGGGATGAACGCTTTGGAGGCACCGTGTCTGAACTGTTGCTTGTGGATTTATAGTAGTTCAGTCATTATATACAAAATTATTATAGGCTGATTTTTCTTTTTTTACTTGAACTTTTCGTAACTCAGGGGATTCCCTGAAAATACCTACAGATGGAATATTTCTTGGACAGCTTGTTTTTTGTTTTCCCCCCCCAAAAAAAGTACTCTTCATTTAAGAACAAAGATGAATCAACAGCATTTCCAAGCTCTTGCATCCTGCTGGAAATCTCTTCTCTTCATGTTCCCACCATTACTCCTCCATGAGCCTACACCTTGGGGGATCGTGCTGTTCTCCAGAGACTACCAAACCAAGTCTTCGTGAGGCAGGGGAGGGGATTCTTAAAGTACCACTCACTTTATCCCCATGTCCTGCATATGACTCAGCTGGGGTACACTGAGGAGACAATTCCAGTATGGAGAGGTGGTATAAGCTTAAAAAAAGTAAGTGCAGATAATGTCTGAAACCCTAATTGGATTGAATCATGTCTCCTTAGGAGCCAACCAGAATGCCAACTCACCCCCTTGCATGTAATTTTAGTCTTAAAAGATGAAGTTACCGATTCAATTGGAGTCCTTGCCACCTCCTGAGAAAGGTGCTCCTGTAGAGTAAGCCGTCCTCTAATCAGCCTCTTTCTCATGGAGGGTTCTTCCTGCCATTGCTTGGCTTGGATCTCTGGAATTAGTTTGTTATTGGGTATATTGTTTTTAAATTGTTTATATAGGTTTCAAGCTGGTGGCTACTTAAAGCTGGAAAACTCAGACTGCGCCAAGTCCGATATCACATCTTCACCCACCATCCCCTCCCTCACGTGCCATGTGGTGAGAATACCAGTTACCTCACAGTCTTGTAAATATGCACTGAGAGGAAGGAGCGAGCAGACGTTAACTTAAACTGAAATGGTAGATCAGTAATTGTGGACAAATATTATCATTGACAACAGAAAAGCACCCTTGTTACAGCCCTGCTACCCCTTGCTGTGTATATATACTTTGTCCTTCATATGTGAAAGATCCAGTGTTGGAATTCTTTGGTGTAAATAAACATTTGGTTTTATTTATCGAGGTTAGATTTAAGTTCCCTGTGTAGAGGCCTCCCTGGGGTGGTGGTACGCTTTGACACAGGAGCAGCCCACAGCCCTGCGCGTACCGGGAGGGCCGTGTCCCCGTTCACACGCACCTTGAACGGTGAGCAGTGTAGAGAAGCCTTACGCAAAGCCAAAGTGTTTCCTGGGAGAAGGATCTTTTGCCATAAAACCAAAAAACCCTCCTCTTCTGTCTCAGCCCTGATGGATGGGGAGTTGAGATGCTGAACCAATTCTTAGTTTTTTGTGTGTGTTGCCATTCATTGGATGCAGCGACTTGGTTTCACGCTTGTGGGACTCGGCTGCAGTGGCCGTGAGCGCAATGGCACCTGCCCCTCTTGGTGACGTACCCTAAAGCCATCGCAGCGGTTGCTTGTCCTGGGCAGCGCATGCCCTTCCTGTTCCTCAGCGAGTGCTGAAGCCTTGGCCTTCGGCTCCTTGTCCTCGGAGCATCCGTCCCTCGTTTGTTGTTCTTTGGGGAGGTGATGGCCACAGGCTTCCATGGTACTTCCGTTAATTTTACGAGGTAGAGTGGAGCGTGTAGGCCAGGTTAAACTGACTGAAGAGAAATGAGGCAGGAGAACATGAAACAGCCCATTTCTGTGCGGGGCACTGGCAGGGGAGATGAGATTTTTCACGTGCCCCAGGGTAGCTTTCTCCTCTATGACTTCATCCAGTGGAAATATATTGTACTTAATCTTTTATATCTTAGAATGATGTGAAAGTTGGACCGTGTTGACTGTTACCTTGATGTGCTGTAACGTAAAAGCACCCAATATGACGAAAATACAGCTTGTGGTTGTTTGCACTAGGTTGTGAGCCGCACAGGACCTTTAACCCCATTCTTTTGTGTTACTTCAAGTGAGGGAAGCTTGCAAACCGGAGTGCTTGCTGCTCCCTCTGAGCTTGCAGACATGGATGAGCCGTACAGAAGAGGGGACTGCAGCTGGCTGATGGTCCGGATGCCCCTCAGCCCTTGCACAAGGAAGCACAAGAGCCCGCGCACGGAGGGACGGTTCTGGACGGGACGAGCCCTTGCACGGGGCTGTTCTTGGCACTGCCCGCACCTTGCTGCCCCCGCTGATGCAATTCACAGGGGGTTTTAAGGGTATTGTTCTATGGGGGTGGCAGCAGCACTGGCAGACGTGTTATCCACCCTGCCTGCGCGGGGAAGGAGCCGGGCCGTGGGGGTGTTGGGGGTTTTATTTAATAAAACCCTTGAAACGATCGTCCCACTGAGGAGCGCGCGGGTTGGGAGGCGATGCACGTGCTGCGCGTTCCTCTCTGCGCATGCGCAACCGCGCCCCTTCCGCTCACGTGATTCCCCTGAAGG